TAAACTGAAAACTTCTGGTTAGTTTATTGCTGAAGTCTTCCAGATTATACACAAGTTGTTTTTGTGGTTTAAAATATGTCCTTTGCCTCTGTAGAGGTTTGTGGAAACCTAGGTGAGATGCAGCTTTCAGAAGATAGTAAAAGCCTACGGAAGAAAATGTTTTCTTTATTTTCCTGTCTACATTGGAAGACTGAGTAGGAGTTGTAATTTACTTTGGTAACACGGTGGCCATCATTCAGTTGTTTAGTTCTTTGTAAATATTGGCATGAGCGTGATCTGACATGGTAGGAGCATATCCATAAACATTGGCCTAAACATTTTTAATCATAGACTTTCTCAAACAATATTGTTAGCCCTGGAATTGGTATGGGTTTATTTATGTGAAATGCTATTAATAAAATAAGCCATAGTTTTAATATTAGAATACAAAATGTCTAAGTAAGATCCTCAACTATGTACCTAGTTAGAAATACTAAAGCTCATCTCTAAGTCCTTTATCAGGAAAAATAATCCATTACCCATATATATACATATATATATATGTATATATATATGTTTGTGTGTGTGTGTGTATACACACATATATATAAAACATATATATATATAATAATATGCAATTTGAGAATTGTATTCTTTACTGATGTGAAGGATTCATGTATTACTGGTAGAAAAGATCAAGCCATAGTTACAATAAGGAATCACCAGATAGGACAGTATCTCTGGTAGATGCTTTTCTTAATAACCACTAAATTGGTAGTGTTACAGTTTTTCTGTGAATTTTCTATGTTCTACATATTTTAGTGCCAACATTTAAAAATATACAGTGTTCTCCCCAATGTTACTTATGTCCTTGAAGTTTTACTATTTTGTATCTAGAAATAGTCTAATCCTTTGGAACATCTCAAGTTTGATTAACTTTTCAGATTTGAGTATTCTATTAAAGGAGATTAATTTGACTATATTAAATGAAAGTGTAAAGATCCCATATGTATTTGTTAGAAATATATGTTCCATTCGCATTAGTAGAAATTGATAGATTTAGAGATCTGATTTTCCGTATAATGATCCTTTGTATTACTCCCTAAGTGGAAGCAAATATACTTGTTTTGATCGGCATTACTGGGGAAGAAAGCATTAAGTTGTTTCCTAAAATTATGGTGGCTTATTTAAGATCTTCAGAAAGGCCCCAAAAAGTGCCTTTCAGTTATAGGGCAGTTGATTTATTCATTAAAGACAAAGATTTTTTTTAATTATTTGAGTTTTGCTTTTTTTTTTTTGCATTTTGAGAAAAACTATATTCTGTAGCATGAAGTTATGGCTTTTTATAGTGATTAATTTAGTAAAACAAGAGACCATCACATTGATATAGAAAGTGTCATAGGCACATATTTTTTTCTGTAACTTTCTGGGCAAGTTTCTCTTCTAGTCTTGAGGTTTTTTGGGGTTCATGTTCAAAGTTGACAGGTGGAAAAGTTGACAAAACATTTGTTTTTTATGTGGTTCACTCAGTAAATGTATTTTGAGGACTGTAATAGGTAATGGAGATACATTTAAAATTCAGAAGAAATAATCACAGACATAACAGGAAAACCAGGAGAATGTTTCAAAGGGAAGATTGTGTTAAGGAGAAAGTATTTGTAGCTCTTAGTTACAGATGATAAGTAGAAGGGTATTTCTTTAGTATCTTCAGTTTGTGTGGCTGTTGAAATACACACACACACACTCACCCTCACCCACTCCTACACACATAAATATAAAAGAAATATTGAGCTATTTTATATTTATTTTGGACTAAATCTTTGAAATCCCATGTGAATTTTATCCTTACAGTACATTTTGATTTGGACTAGCTGCATTTTAAAGGCTCAGTATCCACATGTGGCTAGTGACTACCATCTTGGCTACCCTGTGGCTCTAGATTGTCCTGTCTCATCTTTCAGATCTTGACATTTCTCAGGGAACCATTCTCTGATTCCCTAGGTCTGTCCTTTTCTTTCACCCTGTCTTAATGGACTCCTATTCCTTTCCTTTAGAGCATTTATCATGGTTGTAAATCTTTATTACTGTGATTCTTTGATGCTCATCTCTTCCACTAGATGTAGGCATGAGTGTTTCCCATTGTATTTTCAATCTTTATACACAACTGGTGCTCAGTAAATAATATTTCGCTTAGTAAACTGTGCTTATTAGTAGTATAAGGAAATTTGACCAGAATCACACATCTGATTTTAAAATCAGGCACTAAATTCTTTCTAATTAATTTTGCTGGGATGAGGACATATAAAATACCACTAATCTGAGAAATGGTTTTAACTGTAAGTTGTTTACTTGCAGTGGTGTTGTCCTAGGTAGTAGTTCTGTAAGCTATCATTTATTTTTAACAAGTAGAAAGCTTTTAAATCCGTAAGTGTATTTTTGAGTTGATTTAACAGACTTGATAAAAGAGGTTTTAATAATTTAATTTTTAAAATAAAAATTCCCTGCTCATATTCATCCTGAAAATAAGACTGACTTAAATTATCATAAAATTAAATTACTTAAGATGAATTTTTATAAGAATAAACATTTTTAGATAGACGTAATTGAAAATAGTCTAACTTTTTCATTTTAAAGAATGCTTACTGTGACTTTGATAGAATGATTAAACCACATGATCCACATTATCTTATTAGTTAAAAGTCAAGAAATTATATTTTGGCCATATTTTATTTTATTTTTTATTTTATTTTTTTAAAGATTTTATTTATTTATTTGAGAGAGAGAATGAGATAGAGAGAGAGAGCATGAGAGGGGGGAGGGTCTGAGGGAGAAGCAGGCTCCCTGCTGAGCAGGGAGCCCGATGCGGGACTCAATCCCAGGACTCCAGGATCATGACCTGAGCCAAAGGCTGTCGCTTAACCAACTGAGCCACCCAGGCACCCTATTTTGGCCATATTTTAGACAATCATAGGTTGTACCATAGTCTTGAGTTTAAAAGGAATTTAAGCATGATCCCCACCTTAGGTAAGTTTACACTTCCTGTGTACTATGCAAGTAGAAAGAATGAGATACTGTTAAAATAGAGTTGGGTAAGATTTCATTACTAAAACTGATATTTGAACTGTATCTTGAAGGGATAGTAGGCATTTATCAAGGGAAGAGAGGGAAGGGTATTTCAGTCAAAGGAACAGCATGTACATAGATGCAGGGTTTCAAAACATTTTGGAATAGTTCCGCTAAGCAACTAGAAGCAGACACAGTTGACCCTTGAACAACATGGGTTTGAACTGTGCGGGACGGCTTAAATGCAGATTTTTTTTATGGTACAGTACTATAAATATGTTTTCTCTTGTTTTCTTAATATTTTCTTTAGCTTACTTTATTGTAAGAATACAGTATATAATACATGTAACATACAAACTATGTGTTAATCAACTGTTTATGTTATCAGTAAGGCTTCCAGTCAACAGTAGGTTATTATTAGTTAAGTTTTTGGGGAATTGTAAGTTATACTCAGATGTTCCAGGGAGGAGGTCAGGACCCCTAACCTCTGCCTTGTTCAAGGGTCAACTGTAATTCATTCTGGCTACAGCATAGTATGGGGGGCGGTGTGGGGGAGGCAGAACCAGGAAATGAATCTGGCAGAACAACTTGATGGTAGGGACATAAAGAACCCCATGTGGTACTCTAAGGGAGCTTCACCCTGTCCTTTGCAGTAGGGAGCAAAATAATGGAAGAGAGTCCTGAAAAGTGTGAGCAGCAAGGAGACAGTTATAGTGAAAGAAATAATGGGACATGGACTACCTTAGTGTGGGGTGTTGAAAAGAGAGTATACACTGATGATTCACCCCACCCCAACCCCTCAACCCTTCCCACCCTACCCGTGGCCCCTCCACTAAGAAGACAGGATACTGAAGACAGGACATAATTCTGGTAAACTTTTCCTTAAATATTAATGAAGATAATGTGTCTGTGTTTTAGTGAATTTTAATGGAAACTTGTTATGTAATAAGTCTATTAATTACTAAAGGACAGGATATGTTTTACAAAGTAGAAATGATTATGATTTAATCAGTGTCATTTTTCACTGCATGCCGAAACTTTTAACATAAATTATTTCATCCTCAAATAATAGCCTGATTTTGCTGTGTGGTCATATTAACTTTAATCAACTTAGATGTAAAAGGGTATTTCGTGAATTAGTTTTTTAAAAGATTATATGTTTTATTAGGGCATTGGGTTTTAATTAATGTTATATGTTAGAAACTATTTTCTGATTTGTTAAAATTTAAGGAATAAAGTAGAAGTCTAAATAGGGTAGTTTGTAAAAGCATAACTATATACCATGAACCAACACTGTAACCAGGAGCAAGCGGCCTGGATATGATGCCTTTGCTTTGAAACCACATCTCCTTTTGTTGCATAGGGAGATCACAGGGGCCAAAGCAGCAGTTACATCCTGTAACAGCCCTGCTAAAATCTATTAGGAAAATCTCCCTAATCTTAGTGGTTGCTAAGGTGTGTGGTCAGGACATTGGTGTCTTCCTGACAAAGCTTTCTGCTGTTAGCCATAGCAAAAATATCAAACAGAGATGAATACTGCATGAGCCCTTCCCATTGCCACTGGCCCATCAGCTTTTTTTGGAAAGGGCAGTGGAAGGTGAACCTTTTCTTGTTTGCTTGACCCTTGTGATTCTCATCCTTAGTATATATCATTTGTGGGGTATCACAAGATTGGTATCATGAAGGGCTTTTCATTATGTTCATTTTTTTAAGCCCTAAGTGAGGTTTCAGCCTGGCAAAAAATAGGTTAATATTTTGAAAACATGTGCACTATAGTAAAACAATATATTTGATCAGTTAAACTTCATAAATATGATATTTAAATCAAATTTCATAATGACATTTTATCCTAAAATTAATTTTGGTAACTTCACTATTTCAAAGAACTGAGTTTTGTTAAATTTTTAGACCTAATCTTTTGTTTAAATGAATTAAAATACATTTGTTTTTTTGTGCAGATTTGAGTTCTGTGAACCTGCATTTGTGGTTGGTAATTGCCTCCAGATAGCATCTGACAGTCATCAGTATGATCGAATTTATTGTGGAGCTGGTGTCCAGAAAGACCATGAAAACTACATGAAAATATTACTGAAAGTTGGAGGCATTCTAGTCATGCCTATAGAAGATCAGGTAACTTCTGTACTTTGCTTAAACACAGTAGTTGAGGGTGGGAAATATAATCAATGAAAAGTACGTTGTGATTTCTAGAGAAAACGCTTTATAGATATATCTATCTATCATCTATCTATCTACCTACCTACCTACCTAAAACAACTTGAAATGGATTCTTAATTATTGAACCAAAAAAAAAAAATATATATATAGAAGAAATCCTTTGTACTAAGATTTGAAGAGATTTGGTCTCTCACCAGAGCGTAGCTACTACATATGTGGTGTTTGCCAAGTTGCTTCCTTACCATACAGTCTCTTTACCTGGAGCTTTTTAATTGAATGGGATGATCTTTACTAGTTGCTCAATTTCTAACATTCTTTTTTTTTCTTTAAATTTTTTTATTCTTATGTTAATCACCATACATTACATCATTAGTTTGTGATGTAGTGTTCCATGATTCATTGTTTGTGCATAATACCCAGTGCTCCACGCAGAACATGCCCTCTTTAATACCCATCACCAGGCTAACCCATCCCCCTCTAGAACCCCCCTCCCCTCTAGAACCCTCAGTTTGTTTTTCAGAGTCCATCGTCTCTCATGGTTCATCTCCCCTCTGATTTACCCCCCTTCATTCTTCCCCTCCTGCCATCTTCTTCTTTTTTTTTTTCCTTAACATATATTGCATTATTTGTTTCAGAGGTACAGGTCTTTTGATTCAACAGTCTTGCACAATTCACAGCGCTCACCATAGCACATACCCTCCCCAGTGTCTATCACCCAGCCACCCATCCCTCCCACCCCTCCCCACTCCAGCAACCCTCAGTTTGTTTCCTGAGATTAAGAATTCCTCATATCAGTGAGGTCATATGATACATGTCTTTCTCTGATTGA